GGATTTGGGGCTGGATTTTGGGGTCATTTTTGGGGATTTTGGGGCTGGATTTTGGGGTCATTTTTTGGGACTTGGTGCTGGATTTTGGGGCCATTATTTGAGATTTGGTTCTGGAATTCGGGGCTGTTCTTTGGGATTTTGGGGCCATTATTTGGGATTTGGGGCTGGAATTCGGAGCCGTCCTTTGGGATTTTGGGGCCATTATTCGGGATTCAGGGCTGGGTTTTGGGGCCATTTTCTGGGATTTTGGGCTGGAATTTGGGGCTGTTCTTTGGGATTTTGGGGACATGCTTCGGGATTTTGGGGCTGGATTTTGGGGCCGTTTTTTGGGATTCGGGGCTGGATTTTGGGGTCATTTTCTGGGATTTGGGGCTGGATTTTGGGGCCATTCTTTGGGATTTGGGGCTGGATTTTGGGGCCATTATTTGGGATTTTGGGCTGGATTTTGGTGCCATTATTTGGGACTCGGGGCTGGATTTTGGGGCTGTTTTTTGGGATTCAGGGCTGGGTTTTGGGGCCATTTTTGGGGCCGTTTTTGGGATTTGGGGCGCTCAGAGCACGCCGCGCTCGGGGCGGGCGCGGCCGAGCTTCATCCCGCGGAGGATGAGGATGGTGCCCGCGGTGATGCCCACGATGCCCACGGCCAGGCCCAGGGCACAGAGTTTGGGGCAATTTCAGACGATTTTGGGGCTGGGTTTTGGGGTCATTTTATGGGATTTCAGGCGGGATTTGGGGCTGGATTTTGGGGTAATTCTGTAGGATTTGGGGCTGGATTTCAGGACAGATTTTGGGGTCATTTTGCAGGGTTTTGCACACATTTATCAGAGACATTTTGCAGGATTTGGGGCTGGGTTTTGGGGTCATTATTTGGGATTTGGGGTCATTTTTTGGGAACACTTTTTGGGATTTCAGGACAATTCTGCGGGATTTGGGGCTGGATTTTGGGGTCATTATTTGGGATTTGGGGCTGGAATTCGGGGTCATTATTTGGGATTTGGGGCTGGATTTTGGGGTCATTTTTTGGGATTTTGGGGCTGGATTTTGGGGTCAAGTTTTGGCATTTGGAGCTGGATTTTGGGGCCATTCTTTGGGATTTTGGGGACAGATTTTGGGGCCATTTTCTGGGACTCAGGGCTGGATTTTGGGGCCATTTTCTGGGACTCAGGGCTGGATTTTGGGGCCATTATTTGGGATTTTGGGGCTGGAATTTGGGGCCATTTTCTGGGACTTGGGGCTGGAATTCGGGATCATTATTTGGGATTTTGGGGCTGGATTTTGGGGCCGTTCTTTGGGATTTGAGGCTGGAATCTGGAACCGTTCTTTGGGATTTTGGGGCCATTTTCTGGGATTTGGGGCTGGATTTTGGGGCCATTTTCTGGGACTCGGGGCTGGATTTTGGGGTCATTTTCTGGGATTCAGGGCTGGATTTTGGGGTCATTTTCTGGGATTTGGGGCTGGATTTTGGGGTCATTTTCTGGGATTTGGGGCTGGATTTTGGGGCTGTTCTTTGGGATTTTGGGGTCATGCTTTGGGATTCAGTGCTGGAATTTGGGGTCATTTTCTGGGACTCGGGGCTGGATTTTGGGGTCATTTTCTGGGATTTTGGGCTGGAATTTGGGGCCATTATTTGGGATTTTGGGGCCATTCTTTGGGATTTGGGGCTGGGTTTTGGGGTAATTCTGTGGGATTTGGGGCTGGATTTCAGGACAGATTTTGGGGTCATTTTGCAGGGTTTTGCACACATTTATCAGAGACATTTTGCAGGATTTGGGGCTGGGTTTTGGGGTCAAATTTTGGAATTTGGGGTAATTTTCTGGGATTTGGGGCTGGATTTCAGGACAATTCCACGGGATTTGGGGCTGGAATTTGGGGTTTGGGGCTGGATTTTGAGGTTGATTTTTGGGATTTCACGCTGGATTTGGGGCTGGATTTTGGGGTCATTATTTGGGATTTGGGGCTGGATTTTGGGGTCATTTTCTGGGATTTCAGGCTGGATTTTGGGGCCATTATTTGGGACTTGGTTCTGGAATTCGGGGCTGTTCTTTGGGATTTTGGGGTCAATATTTGGGATTTGGGGCTGGATTTTGGTGCCATTCTCTGGGATTTCAGGCTGGATTTTGGGGTCATTATTTGGGATTTGGGGCTGGGTTTTGGGGCCATTTTTTGGGACTCGGGGCTGGATTTTGGGGCCGTTTTTTGGGATCTGGGGCGCTCAGAGCACGCCGCGCTCGGGGCGGGCGCGGCCGAGCTTCATCCCGCGGAGGATGAGGATGGTGCCCGCGGTGATGCCCACGATGCCCACGGCCAGGCCCAGGGCACAGAGTTTGGGGCAATTTCAGCCGATTTTGGGGCTGGGTTTTGGGGTCATTTTATGGGATTTCAGGCTGGATTTGGGGTTGGGTTTTGGGGTCATTTTATGGGATTTCAGGCTGGATTTGGGGTTGGGTTTTGGGGTAATTCTGTGGGGTTTGGGGCTGGATTTCAGGACAGATTTTGGGGTCATTTTGCAGGGTTTTGCACACATTTATCAGAGACATTTTGCAGGATTTGGGGCTGGGTTTTGGGTTCATTATTGGGGATTTGGGGTCATTTTTTGGGATCACTTGTTGGGATTTCGGGACAATTCTGCGGGATTTGGGGCTGGAATTTGGGGTTTGGGGCTGGATTTGGGGGTCATTATTTGGGATTTGGGGCTGGATTTTGGGGCCATTCTTTGGGATTTTGGGGTCATGGTTTGGGATTCAGGGCTGGATTTTGGGGTCATTTTCTGGGACTTGGGGCTGGAATCTGGGGACATTCTTTGGGATTTCGGGGCCATTATTTGGGATTTTGGGGCCATTCTTTGGGATTCAGGGCTGGGTTTTGGGGCTGTTCTTTGGGATTTTGGGGTCATGCTGCGGGATTTTGGGGCTGGAATTTGGGGCCATTCTTTGGGATTTAGGGGTCATGCTTTGGGATTCGGGGCTGGGTTTTGGGGCCGTTTTTTGGGGCCGTTTTTGGGATTTGGGGCGCTCAGAGCACGCCGCGCTCGGGGCGGGCGCGGCCGAGCTTCATCCCGCGGACGATGAGGATGGTGCCCGCGGTGATGCCCACGATGCCCACGGCCAGGCCCAGGGCACAGAGTTTGGGGCAATTTCAGCCGATTTTGGGGCTGGGTTTTGGGGTCATTTTGAGGGATTTCAGGCTGGATTTGGGGTTGGGTTTTGGGGTCATTTTGAGGGATTTCAGGCTGGATTTCAGGACAGATTTTGGGGTCATTTTGCGGGGTTTTGCACACATTTATCAGCGACATTTTGCAGGATTTGGGGCTGGGGTTTGGGGTCAAATTTTGGGATTTGGGGCTGGGTTTTGGGGTCATTATTTGGGATTTGGGACTGGATATTAGGACAATTCCGCAGAATTTGGGGGTGGATTTTTTGGGATTTGGGGCTGGATTTTGGGCCCATTATTTGGGATTTTGGGGCTGGATTTCGGGGTCATTTTTTGGGATTTTGGGGCTGGGTTTTGGGGCCATTCTTTGGGATTTTGGGGTTATGCTTCGGGATTTTGGGGCCGTTTTTTGGGGCCGTTTTTTGGGATTTCGGGGCGCTCAGAGCACGCCGCGCTCGGGGCGGGCGCGGCCGAGCTTCATCCCGCGGATGATGAGGATGGTGCCCGCGGTGATGCCCACGATGCCCACGGCCAGGCCCAGGGCACAAATCGCCGTCTCCGTGGCCTCCGACGCCGGCGCCAGGATTTGGGGTTCTGAGGGAATAAAAAATCCCAAATTCCCAAAATTTTGGGGGAGATCCCAAATCTCTTCCTCATCCCAAATCCTTCCTCGGCTTCGTCCCGTTCGCCGCTCATCGTAAAATTCCCGAATTTTTCCTCTTCCCAAATTGTTTCTCCTCCCAAATTCCCATTTTTCCAAATCCCAAATACCAATTTTCCCATATCTTTCAATTTCCACCCCAAATCCCAAAAATACCCAAATTTTTTTTCCCAAAAACTTCATATTTTTGTGCCATTTTTTCCCAAAACCCCCAAATCTCACCCCAATGCCTCTTGGCCATCCCCTCATACTCCGCCTTTCAAATCCCAAATCCCACTTTTCCCAAACCCCAAAAATCCAATTTTTTCCCCAAAATCCCTTTTTTCCCCAAAACCCTCATTTTTTTCCTTAAAAATCCCATAAATTTTTTCCCAAAAATCCCAAATACCCCAAACGCCCTCATGCTCCACCTTGCCATCCTAATAACCCCAAATCCCAATTGTCCTAAACCCCAAAAATCCAATTTTTTCCCCCAAAACCCCACATTTTTTCCTCAAAAATCCCATTTTTTCCCAAAAAATCCCATATTTCCTCCCAAAAACCCCATAATTTTTTTCCCAAAACCCCCAAATCTCACCCCAATGCATCTTGGCGGGCTTGGCCAACCCCTCGTGCTCCACCTGGCAGTCGTAGTAGTCGCCGGGCGCGGGCACGAAGGGCAGGTAGGAGAACTTGCGGAAGGTGAAGTCGCGGTCGGGGTAGAACGGCGTCTCCAGGACGCCGCGCGTCACCGGCGCCCCGTTGCGCAGCCACGTCACCCCCAGCGCCGCCGGCCAGAACTTGGTGACGGAGCAGATCAGGATGTTGGGCTCCTCGTCCTCCACCGGGTGCTTGGGGAACACGGCCACTTCCGGGGGCTCTGGGGGCCGGGAATCGGGAAAAGGCGGGATTTGGGGTGGGGTGGCCGGGAATTGGGTTGGATCCAACTGGGGTTGGGTTGGAACCAACTGGGGTTGGGTTTGAGGGACACCAAAGTTTGGAATTCCACCAGGAACCTTCTGGAATTGGGGTTGGATTTTTGGGTTGAAATCCCCTGGAATTGGGTCGGATCCAACTGGGATTGGGTTGGAACCAACTGGGATTGGGTTGGATCCAACTGGGATTGGGTTTGAGGGACACCAAAATTTGGAATTCCACCTGGAACCTTCTGGAATTGCCATTGGATGTTTGGGTTGAAATCCCCTGGAATTGGGTAGAATCCAACTGGGATTGGGTTGGAACCAACTGGGATTGGGTTGGATCCATCTTTCATTGAGTAGGATCAAGTTTGGATTGGGTTTGAGGAACACCAAAGTTTGGAATTCCACCAGGATCCTTCTGGAATTGGGGTTGGATTTTTGGGTTTGAATCCCCTGAAATTGGGTTGGATCCAACAGGGATTGAGGTGGAACCAACTGGGATTGGGTTTGAGGGACACCAAAGTTTGGGATTCCACCAGGAACCTTCTGGAATTGGGTTGGATTTCCCTAAAATTGGGTTGAAATCCACTGAAATTGGGTTGGATCCAACTGGGGTTGGGTTTGAGGGACACGAAAGTTTGGAATTCCACCAGGAACCTTCTGGAATTGGGGTCGGAGTTTTGGGTTAAAATCTCCTAGAATTGGGTTGGATCCATCTAGGATTGGGTTGGATCTAACTGGGATTGAGTTCGATTGAACTGGGATTGGGTTGGATCCATCTTTCATTGAGTAGGATCAAGTTTGGATTGGGTTTGAGGGACACCAAAGTTTGGAATTCCACCAGGAACCTTCTGGAATTGGGGTCGGATGTTTGGGTTGAAATCCCCTGGAATTGGGTTGGATCCAACTGGGATTGGGTTGGATCCAACTGGGATTGAGTTGGAACCAGTTGGGATTGGGTTGGAACCAACTGGGATTGGGTTTGAGGGACACCAAAATTTGGGATTCCACCAGGAACCTTCTGGATTTGCCGTTGGATGTTTGGGTTGAAATCTGCCGAAATTGGGTTGGATCCAACTGGGATTGAGTTGGAACCAGTTGGGTTAAGTTAGATCCAACTGGGATTGGGTTTGAGGGACACCAAAGTTTGGGATTCCACCAGGAACCTTCTGGAATTGGGGTTGGATTCTTGGGTTGAAATCCCCTGAAATTGGGTCGGATCCAACTGGGATTGGGCTGGAGGAACCCCCGAGGCCGGAACTGGGTTGGAATCCCCCGGGATCGGGCGGGGCCCGGCCGGGATCGGCGTCTCCAGGACGCCGCGCGTCACCGGCGCCCCGTTGCGCAGCCACGTCACCCCCAGCGCCGCCGGCCAGAACTTGGTGACGGAGCAGATCAGGATGTTGGGCTCCTCGTCCTCCACCGGGTGCTTGGGGAACACGGCCACTTCCGGGGGCTCTGGGGGCCGGGAAGCGGGAAAAGTTGGGATTTGGGGTGGGGTGGTCGGGAATTGGGTTGGATCCAACTGGGGTTGGGTTGGAACCAACTGGGATTGGGTTTGAGGGACACCAAAGTTTGGGATTCCACCAGGAACCTTCTGGAATTGGGGTTGGATTTTTGGGTTGAAATCCCCCGAAATTGGGTCGGATCCAACTGGGATTGGGTTGGAACCAGTTGGGTTAAGTTAGATCCAACTGGGATGGGGTTTGAGGCACACCAAACTTTGGAATTCCACCTGGAACCTTCTGGAATTGGGGTTGGATTTTTGGGTTGAAATCTCCTAGAATTGGGTTGGATCCAACTGGGATTGGGTTCGATCCAACTGGGATTGAGTTGGATCCAGTTGGGATTCGGTTGGATCCAGTTGGGTTGAGTTGGATCCAACTGGGATTGGGTTTGAGGGACACCAAAATTTGGGATTCCACCAGGAACCTTCTGGAATTGCCATTGGATGTTTGGGTTGAAATCTGCTGAAATTGGGTCGGATCCATCTAGGATTGGGTTGGATCCATCTTTCATTGAGTAGGATCAAGTTTGGATTGGGTTTGAGGGACACCAAAGTTTGGGATTCCACCAGGAACCTTCTGGAATTGGGGTCGGATTTTTGGGTTGAAATCTCCTGGAATTGGGTGAGATCCAACTGGGATTGAGTTGGAACCAGTTGGGATTAAGTTGGAACCAACTGGGATTGGGTTTGAGGGACACCAAAGTTTGGGATTCCACCAGGAACCTTCTGGAATTGGGGTCGGATTTTTGGGTTTGAATCCCCTGAAATCGGGTCGGATCCAACTGGGATTGGGCTGAGGAACCCCCGAGGCCGGAACTGGGTTGGAATCCCCCGGGATCGGGCGGGGCCCGGCCGGAATCGGCGTCTCCAGGACGCCGCGCGTCACCGGCGCCCCGTTGCGCAGCCACGTCACCCCCAGCGCCGCCGGCCAGAACTTGGTGACGGAGCAGATCAGGATGTTGGGCTCCTCGTCCTCCACCGGGTGCTTGGGGAACACGGCCACTTCCGGGGGCTCTGGGGGCCGGGAATCGGGAAAAGGTGGGATTTGGGGTGGGGTGGCCGGGAATTGGGTTGGATCCAACTGGGGTTGGGTTTGAGGGACACCAAAGTTTGGGATTCCACCAGGATCCTTCTGGAATTGGGGTTGGATGTTTGGGTTGAAATCCCCTGGAATTGGGTTTGATCCAACTGGGATTGGGTTTGAGGGACACCAAAGTTTGGGATTCCACCAGGAACCTTCTGGAATTGGGGTTGGATTTTTGGGTTGAAATCCCTTGGAATTGGGTCGGATCCATCTAGGATTGGGTTGGATCCAGTTGGGTTGAGTTGGATCCAACTGGGATTGGGTTGGAACCAACTGGGTTGGGTTGGATCCAACTGGGATTGGGTTTGAAGGACACCAAAGTTTGGGATTCCACCAGGAACCTTCTGGAATTGGGGTTGGATTTTTGGGTTTGAATCCCCTGAAATTGGGTCGGATCCAACTGGGATTGGGTTGGAACCAGTTGGGTTGAGTTGGAACCAACTGGGATTGGGTTTGAGGAACACCAAAGTTTGGGATTCCACCAGGAACCTTCTGGAATTGGGGTTGGATTTTTGGGTTGAAATCTCCTGGAATTGGGTTGGATCCAACTGGGGTTGGGTTGGAACCAACTGGGACTGGGTTTGAGGGACACCAAATTTTGGGATTCCACCAGGAACCTTCTGGAATTGGGGTCGGATGTTTGGGTTGAAATCCCCTGGAATTGGGTCGGATCAAGTTTCAATTGGGTTTGAGGGACACCAAATTTTGGGATTCCACCTGGAACCTTCTGGAATTGCCGTTGGATGTTTGGGTTGAAATCCCCTGGAATTGGGTCGGATCTATCTAGGATTGGGTTGGATCCATCTTTCATTGAGTAGGATCAAGTTTGGATTGGGTTTGAGGGACACCAAAGTTTGGAATTCCACCAGGAACCTTCTGGAATTGGGGTTGGATTTTTGGGTTTGAATCTCCTGAAATCGGGTCGGATCCAACTGGGATGGGGCTGGAGGAACCCCCGAGGCCGGAACTGGGTTGGAATCCCCCGGGATCGGGCGGGGCCCGGCCGGGATCGGCGTCTCCAGGACGCCGCGCGTCACCGGCGCCCCGTTGCGCAGCCACGTCACCCCCAGCGCCGCCGGCCAGAACTTGGTGACGGAGCAGATCAGGAGGTTGGGCTCCTCGTCCTCCACCGGGTGCTTGGGGAACACGGCCACTTCCGGGGGCTCTGGGGGCCGGGAATCGGGAAAAGTTGGGATTTGGGGTGGGGTGGTCGGGAATTGGGTTGGAACCAACTGGGGTTGGGTTGGAACCAACTGGGATTGGGTTTGAGGGACACCAAATTTTGGGATTCCACCAGGAACCTTCTGGAATTGGGTTGAAATCCTCTGGATTTGGGGTTGGATTTAACTGGGATGGGGTTGGAACCAACTGGAGTTGGGTTTGAGGGACACCAAAGTTTGGGATTCCACCAGAAACCTTCTGGATTTGCTGTTGGATGTTTGGGTTGAAATCCCTTAGAATTGAGTTGGATCCAACTGGGATTGGGTTGGAACCAGTTGGGATTGGGTTGGATCCAACTGGGATTGGGTTTGAGGGACACCAAAGTTTGGAATTCCACCAGGAACCTTCTGGAATTGGGGTCGGATTTTTGGGTTGAAATCCCCTGGAATTGGGTTGGATCCAACTGGGATTGGGTTTGAGGGACACCAAAGTTTGGGATTCCACCAGGAACCTTCTGGAATTGCCGTTGGATGTTTGGGTTGAAATCTCCTGGAATTGGGTTGGATCCATCTAGGATTGGGTTGGAACCAGTTGGATTAAGTTAGATGCAACTGGGATTGGGTTTGAGGGACACCAAAGTTTGGAATTCCACCAGGATCCTTCTGGAATTGGGGTCGGATTTTTGGGTTGGAATCCCCTGAAATTGGGTCGGATCCAACTGGGATTGGGCTGAGGAACCCCCGAGGCCGGAACTGGGTTGGAATCCCCCGGGATCGGGCGGGGCCCGGCCGGGATCGGCGTCTCCAGGACGCCGCGCGTCACCGGCGCCCCGTTGCGCAGCCACGTCACCCCCAGCGCCGCCGGCCAGAACTTGGTGACGGAGCAGATCAGGATGTTGGGCTCCTCGTCCTCCACCGGGTGCTTGGGGAACACGGCCACTTCCGGGGGCTCTGGGGGCCGGGAATCGGGAAAAGGTGGGATTTGGGGTGGGGTGGTCGGGAATTGGGTTGGATCCAACTGGGGTTGGGTTTGAGGGACACCAAAGTTTGGGATTCCACCAGGAACCTTCTGGAATTGGGGTCGGATTTTTGGGTTGAAATCCCTTGGAATTGGATTGGATCCAACTGGAGTTGGGTTTGAGGAACACCAAAGTTTGGGATTCCACCAGGAACCTTCTGGAATTGCCGTTGGATGTTTGGGTTGAAATCCCTTGGAATTGGGTTGGATCCAACTGGGATTGGGTTTGAGGGACACCAAATTTTGGGATTCCACCAGGAACCTTCTGGAATTGGGGTTGGATGTTTGGGTTGAAATCTCCTGGAATTGGGTTGGATCCAACTGGGATTGGGTTGGAACCACCTTTCATTGAGTTGGATCAAGTTTGGATTGGGTTTGAGGAACACCAAATTTTGGGATTCCACCAGGAACCTTCTGGAATTGGGGTTGGATTTTTGGGTTGAAATCCTTTGGAATTGGGTCGGATCCAACTGGGATTGGGTTTGAGGGACACCAAAGTTTGGGATTCCACCAGGAACCTTCTGGAATTGGGGTCGGATTTTTGGGTTGGAATCCCCTGAAATTGGGTCGGATCCAACTGGGATTGAGTTGGAACCAGTTGGGTTCAGTTGGATCCAACTGGGATTGGGTTTGAGGGACACCAAAGTTTGGAATTCCACCAGGAACCTTCTGGAATTGCCGTTGGACGTTTGGGTTGAAATCCTTTGGAATTGGGTCGGATCCAACTGGGATTGAGTTGGAACCAACTGGGGTTGGGTTCGAACCAACTGGGGTTGGGTTGAGGGACACCAAAGTTTGGAATTCCACCAGGATCCTTCTGGAATTGGGGTTGGATTTTTGGGTTGAAATCTCCTGGAATTGGGTTGGAACCAACTGGGATTGAGTTGGAACCAGTTGGGGTTGAGATGGATCCAACTGGGGTTGGGTTGGAACCAACTGGGTTGGGTTAGATCCAACTGGAGTTGGGTTTGAGGGACACCAAATTTTGGGATTCCACCAGGAACCTTCTGGAATTTAGCTTGGATGTTTGGGTTGAAATCCCCTGGAATTGGGTCAGATCCAACTGGGATTGGGCTGAGGAACCCCCGAGGCCGGAACTGGGTTGGAATCCCCCGGGATCGGGCGGGGCCCGGCCGGGATCGGCGTCTCCAGGACGCCGCGCGTCACCGGCGCCCCGTTGCGCAGCCACGTCACCCCCAGCGCCGCCGGCCAGAACTTGGTGACGGAGCAGATCAGGATGTTGGGCTCCTCGTCCTCCACCGGGTGCTTGGGGAACACGGCCACTTCCGGGGGCTCTGGGGGCCGGGAATCGGGAAAAGGTGGGATTTGGGGTGGGGTGGTCGGGAATTGGGTTGGAACCAACTGGGATTGGGTTTGAGGGACACCAAATTTTGGGATTCCACCAGGAACCTTCTGGAATTGGGGTTGGATGTTTGGGTTGAAATCCCTTGGAATTGGGTTGGATCCAACTGGGGTTGGGTTTGAGGGACACCAAATTTTGGGATTCCACCAGGAACCTTCTGGAATTGGGGTTGGATTTTTGGGTTGAAATCTGCTGGAATTGGGTCGGATCCAACTGGGATTGGGTTGGAACCAACTGGGATTGGGTTTGAGGAACACCAAAATTTGGAATTCCACCAGGAACCTTCTGGAATTGGGTTGAAATCCTCTGGATTTGGGGTCGGATCC